GGAGTTGTCGAAGTTTTCTTGTAACTCCACTTGTCATCGTTGCTTGTAGATGGCTTGGTTGAGGTAGAAGTTGGAGTCGTTGAAGCTTGGTTGTTGGAGAAGCCTTAGTTCTTGGATGAGTACTTGGCGTACTTGAAGTCATCTTGCACTTGACATTCCGCTTTGGTAGCTTGATGCACGAGCTCAATGAGGTTGGAGTAGGGTTGGAAGTCGGCAATCTTCTTGATGGGATGATTAAGACCATTCAACAAACGTGACATAGTTTGCTCATCATCTTCCGTGACATTGGCTCTTATCACGGCCATCTCCATTTCGTTGTAGTATTCTTCAACACTCTTTGTTCCTTGCTTGAGGAGTTGGAGCTTCTTGAAGAGATCGTGGTTGTAGTAGGTGGGCACAAAACGTGCTCGCATGACATCTTTCATTTGAGCCCAAGTGGTTATTGGTGGTTCACCTCTTGCTTCTCGGGGGCTCAAGGACTTGTTCCCACCATATGAGCACATAGTCTTGGAACTCAAGTGATGCCATAGCGATCTTCTTCTCTTCCTCATAGTTGTGCAAACAAAAGATTTTGTCGACCTTCAATGCCCATGATAGGTACTCTTCGGGATCATTGCTTCCATTGAACTTGGGCATGGTGAACTTTAGCTTGCCGTAGCGTTGCTCTTCATTGTGTTGGGGTCGAGGGTGATGATGACGCCCTTGACATGGAGGATTATCAACCTCATGTTGCTCTTGGTGCGGAGGATCTCCATACTCGTGTTGCTCTTGTTGATCTTGAGGTTGTGGGGGAGCTTGTGGAGGAGCTTGAGGAACTTGACATTGCACTCTTGGTTGGTAGTGTCGCTCTAGGATTTCTTCTCGAAGTGCTTCCTCTTGATTGCGCCTATCGCGGTTGCGTTTGGCAATGGCTCGACTTGATTCTTGAAGGGCATGTTGCGCCTCAAGAGCTTGTGCTTCACGTTGTTGTTGTTGAAGACGTTGAGCCTCGGCGTCTTGTTCATCTTGATGTTGTCGCGCTCGCTCTTCCTCTTGGTGACGTTGACGTTGTCGTTCTTGAGCTTGTGCAAGAGGAACTTGGTTTGTTTGATGACGAAGTACTTGCTCGTCGACTTGCGCTTGCGAGTGATTGCCGTGTAGAGGATTGTGAGATGCATGACAGTCTTGACGCGCGGCTCGTCAAAGAGTGTTCGATGTTGGTGTACTTGAGCCAGAGAAGGTGTCGTCGGTGTGTCAAGTTGAACGGCTCCGTCTTGAGTATGAAGAAGTGGAAGAATGTCGGTTCACCAACAAGGCACATATCTCGTCCTTTCTTGCATCGTTCTCTTGCTTGTGAGCATCGAGCTTGTTGTCGAAGTAGTCTCTTGTTCGTTGCTCAAAGAGTCGCAAGTCGGTGGCGAGATTGTCGATGCGGTCGCTCATTGCTTGTTGCTCTTGATGCAACACTCGTTGTGCACCGAAGAGGTGGCTCTTGGTGACGTATGATAACATGTCGTCGTCTTGCTCGATGAAGAGTGGGTTGGTGGAAGAACTTGGCCTATCCATCATTGCAAAGAAATATGTGAGTGGGAGAAGGAGAAAAACTTATACCAAATGTACCTTGACCGATGTTGAAGATGGATCAATGATCACTCAAATGTGGACAAGGAAATAGCACAATTGGTACCAATTCTTGTCGGTTCTCACACCTATACAAGTAAAAGCTTATGGTGGAGCTTGGTTAGGATGGTGGCACAAAATTTGACGCAATTGTTAATGAGCTTCAATAATGTTGGAAAAGATTCACAAATTTGCAAATGCAACAAGTAGATCAATAGCAAGGTATGGTACACTGAAACACACACGCAAATATATAAATGGGGTTGTGCAAACCAAAAATGAGCCAAAATGTGGAGTACATGAAAATGCTCTTGCTACACAACGCTAGAGAGACACTAGCACGATTGCACAATAGGCGGATACGTAACTTGTTCACAACCTACTAGGCAAAAATGCAACGACCTCTATCCCAAGTATGCTATATGTATGGTATTTTGATGGTATGATCCAAGATGATCGGATATGACAATCTTAATGTAGTATGATACTATGGTTCTTGCTTATAAGCTCTTTGCTTATCTTTTCGTCTTGCTTAAAAGCTTGTTTGGCTCTTTCACTTTTGAGCTCTTTTCTCATGCAAAACTTCACGAACCAAGATAGCAATTGTGTATGCGATGACAACTTTGTGACGCAAAAGATGATACCAAGATATGTACCATTATGATATGGTATGTATGCTATGGAGTATGGTCCCTAATGTGCACAAGTCACGTTGCCGGCAATACTCAATGGCTAGTCTCGATGGGTAAGCAACGCAAAAGTAAGGCTATGGTGGTTATCAATGCAATGGCAAGGAAATGACAAAGATGTCATCGAGGTTACCATCCTTGGCGAAGATGAGTCCTTTGTGAAGATGAGCGATGTTGATGTTGATGTCGAACCGTACCTATATAGCCGAAACACAATAGGACACGGGAACCACAACTCAAATTCTCAAATACCAAAATGTGTCAAAACTTATCGGAGTCCGAAACGGGTGAGCGATGGTGGTTGCGGAAAGCGGTGGTGGAAGGCAAGTGCGCATGCTGGAGAGGTGGTGGAAACCGACCTGAAAATATTCAGTTTCGTTAGGAATGGTCGGACGACCGGAAGTCATCGGACATCCAGTGTCGGTCGGACGTCCGGTGCCTGGGCGATTTCGGGCATGGGATGAACAGCTCGTTTTCGTGGTGGAGGATGGTGGAGAGGTCAAATCCGAGCGATTTTGTGGATGAAAATGGTGGAGAAGATGGGGAAAAGCTAGATCCACACGTTGTAATGCAAATCCATGGATCAAATGCAACAAAACTTCATCACACCAACAAATCACAAAAAAATTTGGGGCTATTTGTGGTGGGGATTTTCGAATTTAGGACGAAAACAACAAAATCAAGCTAGAAAACAAAGGATAGGGGCTCCAAAAACGTGATCAACGTGGCTCATGATACCAAGATGATGTAGGGTAGAACCCTAGAGGCAGATCTTTCACGTTTGGAGGTGAAGCCTACCAAGAACACGAAGAACACGAGGATGGGAACGAGGGGAAAACACGAGAGAACACTCAACCAACAAGAATAAAGTCACACCTGTTCTAGATCATCGAAACACAAAAGGGTACAAGATCCAAGTCCAACAAGGGACGATACATAGGGTAACCGGTTCTTCTCCGTGAGGAGGTCTTGAAGATGGTCTTCTCTAAGAGGAGGTCTTGAATCCAAGTGGATCTTCTCCGAAGAGGTGTCGGTCCCTCACGAAGGAGTAGATCCGGATGGATGAGCGAGGCTCTATCTCACAAATGAGCTATCAAAATGTTAACCCTAGCTAGGAGGTGGGAGAAGTCTATTTATAGTCTAAGGGGGTGAAAGGATAAGTGGCTTCGACCCAACACTCGGGCGGACGCACAGGTGTCGGACGTCCGACGATCACTGGTCGTCCGAAGGCTCATGAGGGTCCGGATGTCCGGTGCCGGTCGGGCGTCCGATGTTTCGGTTCTGGATAGGAATTGTCGGTCGTCCGGTTGTCCGGGTGTCTGGAAGTCTTCGTTCTTCCGCAGCTTTGGCTCGGGAGTGATTGTGCCGGTCGTCCGGAGAGGCTCGGTCGTCCGGGCGCTGGGAGGTGTCGGACGTCCGGTCAGCGTTGATCGTCCGGCCGCTGTAGCGTGCGAAGGCTGGGGTTTGTCTGGTAGTTTGGAGCCTCCAGGCGTCGGACGTCCGGTCGGCGTCGGCCGTCCGATGACTGGGAGTTTCGAGCAGGCCTTCTTCTTGTCCGTTGAACTTGGTGTCTTCGCCGTCTTGTCCAATGGTTGTAGCTGATCCGTGACTCTCCACCAAACACCTGATCACACATAGAGTCTCCGCATGAGGTAGTAGCTATGTCTCATAAGTAGGGAGTGGGAGTTCGGAGATGAGCGAGTTCGCCTTATCTTCGATAGCCTTTGCTCGAGCTCTTGTCATAGGTCCAAGTGGTGTCGTGGGAGATGTAGGCACGTCCATGGGGATGATTGTGGGATGCTCCGCATCACTATGGTTGGGGATGGATTTGGAAATCAGTCTGTTTAAGTAAGGATGACGTGGCGGCAGCGACATACTCGTGGTGGACCTGTGTCCTCGGGCTCCGCCATTGCGATGGCGTTTGCTCCAGCGTCGGCGCGGAGCTTGAGAGGTAGTCCAGGAGCGAATGCAGATTGTGGTATGCATCGACGACATCTGAAAGACGGAGCATGTGCTGGGCTCGTGGTTCATGGATGGCAGGTATGGTTTCCTCCTTTGGCGTTTTAGTCGTGGCGGGGTGCCAGATCTGGAGTTCGATGGCGTGTCCAGAGTGTTTGCCCCGGTCTGATTCGTTCGACGGCAAGGGCTTCACTTTTGATGAGCTATCTTGAAGGTCCGCAAAGCCGCATATCAGCGATGGAGGCGCGTCGAGCTCGGGTGAGGAGGTGATTCATCATTCTTTTCTTCGGTGACTACTGTGGTGGTGCTAAAGGTAGGTGACGGACATTGGTGTCAAGCTTATAGATATCCTGCTATCTTTTCAGTTTTGTCATGTCGGTCTTTACGTAACTTGTACTTTATTCGTTATGATATGAATGAGACACGTATTACCATGCGAAAAAATCTAGGGTAATAGCTTATTTTTTCTTTGAGGGCAACAATGCATCAGTTTCCCCCTCCTTTTTAGCCGTCCCATAAATGCAATTTAGGGCCCACGTGACAAAAGAGCAAATCACATTTGCTTGCCGGACCGGTTGGAAACTTCGACGGAGACAGCCGGCCAGCCTGTCCCGGCACACCGCCGCTATTAATAAGTTGGCCCATCAAAGACACGGAAATCCTCTCTGTATTCTCTCTCCTAAAGAAACACGATAAAATTCGACAGAGGATTCGGGAGGACTTACGCCGTCCGGGAGGCGAAGAGAGGGCGAGATGGGGGCGTCCGAATCTGTGCCGGAGACCTCCGTGCACGAATTCACCGTTAAGGTGATTCATCTCCTCGCGGAATCACGCCACCCTGCATCATTTTTCTTCTTCTCCAATTTATTTGGGGGAAATTTTGAGAGCAGGATTGCAACGGCAAGGAGGTGTGCCTGGACACGTACAAGGGGAAGGTCCTCCTCATCGTCAACGTCGCCTCCAAATGGTTGGTATTTGTCTCGTCTCAGTGGCAGTTTCCTAGGATCTTTTTGCTTCATTCATGTTGGCGTGTGGAGTACTGAATATTGTTCTTCGTCATCCCATCAGCGGGTTCACGGAGACTAATTACACGCAACTGACGGAGCTTTATCAGAAGTACAGGGAGAAAGGTCAGCTTCCCTTCTTGGTTTATTTTGTGTATCGTCTAGATTATATGCTCAAACGGCCAGGGGAAGATTGCGTACCGATGTTTGTCGAAATCATAGGATGTCATTTTTCTGGATTAAGTGGTGCTGGAATTGGTTGATTCTGTAGAGTAACAACCGGCTTCTTTAGTTTCTCATCCGTGTGAAGTGCGACTTTAGCTTTACTTTCATGTCACACAAACATCACACCACGGTATAAGTAGTGTTAATGTGTACAGGTTCATTCCCATAAAAAATGTGTGTACATGTTCATCTTTGTAACTGATCTGTCTTTAGTTTTCTGGAGTACCAATAGTCTCAGAATATTCTGTGTCCAGCAATATGCGGAAGAGCTGAACATCTGTTTGTTCCTATTTCTTTAAAAGGAGAATATTGTTTGGCATTTTCAGTGATTCAATGTTAGCAAATTTAAGGATTTTTTTTGAATAAATTAGGAAATAAGGGTTTGAAGAACTCAAGGGGAAATTCATTTTCGCAGTATGTTGGACTACTGGCTTAATTCGACCCTAAATACCCTAGAGATTTGCTTCCTTGATTTTTTCCTCCGAAAAACCACATAAAAGCATTGCGTCTCGATGCATTGACATAAAGTAGAAATAGCTACGAGCCTAGAAGAAGGCTAACAGCCCCTTAAGGACAGGAAAAGAACACACAATTAAGTCGGTAAAACAAAATTGAGACCTTTGCCCCCCGCTAGACCCATAGGCTGGATGCTTTCTTCCATATTCACCATGTTGTGAGCTGCATCAAAGGAAAGACAACCTTTGTCGACGGCCTAGTGGCTTCCCCCAAATTTCTTGAACAAGGCCCAAGATTTAAGGGAGGCATCCTAGTTAGCTACAGACCACGTGACATATGATTCTGGTTGACCGCGGGATCCTTTCGGGGTAGGCCCATGAAAAGGATGTTCTGAGTCTTCATCAGGAGAATCACTTACTTGGGCCGGCACCGATAAAGCCTATCCGACTTCACGTCACAAAGCCCATCCGGCTAAAAGGCCGCAACGTACATCCGACTGGACCAAGACATGGCCAATCAAAAGGAATGTTAGCGCGGCGCCATCAAGATGATTCTTATGCGACATGGTAATTCCATCAGTAAGTACCACCATTACGGCCGTTATTACATTGTGGCTCTTAACAGCCCTTGTAACTCCACCTTCTCGTTGTAGTATATAAAGGTGAGAAGGGTGCAAGACATAGCTAGGTTCACCCCAGTCTACAGGCTAGACAAATCCTCTGTAATCACTCGGATCATAAAAGAGAGAAAACATCCAAGCAGGAGGAGGGTGTTACCCCTGGAACATGGGTCGAACCCGGGTAAAACCTCCATTGTGTGAAATACCATACCTAGACCCCCATGTTTGCCTTGCCTCTACAAAATCGCCAAATCATGAATAATGTCACGAAATCCACGCGAGGGTAGGCGCCCATCATGGGGCACTCGTGTGCTGGAGCTATGGTCCAGGCAGCAGGGGCGGAGCCAGAAAATTTAGCCATTGGGTTCACTCATTGACTAGTTGTGAAAACTTGGTATGAACTAATTCCAATTTTACTCCATATCACAACAAGATTATAACAATCAGAGAAACCATGATGAATAGGAATATGATATCCCTTATCACAAATACTTTTACATTAAAATTGAAGAGTGTGAGACATACCGATTGGATGAGATTACAAAATCACATGGGTAATACTGAAATAACTTCTTGGCTTCAAATGCAACTTCTCTTCTTCCTAAGGACATTAAAGAAAATAACAAATTAGTTCCTCGAAAAATAGTGTTTCGTCCACTTTATATAAAAAGCAACAAATAAGAAGTTAGTTTGACAAGTTTGAAATAAAAATATCATCATGCGAAAGAATCATGTAAAGTCACTCACATTTCGGGGCATCCCTTTTTGATCCTTCATTCAAACATATCACCGTTACTAATGGTAGAAGACATGACCTTTTGCACATAGAAAATTAGATAAATACTCATGAAATGATCACCCATTTTATTATACTACTTTTCATTGACAACATTCATAACTAAAAAGCGTCTCTTCACTGATGTTGTGGCAACTGGCAATACTAATACTAGCTTTAGAATTGATAGACCAAAGGAAAAGTAACATGCTTATTTGTTTGGGCCATTAACTTAGCAAGATCAGCAATCTCATCCAAATTGGCAAACTTACATTTGCTCGCCTATTATGAATGTAAGTATCTTCAATGTCCCTATGTGGATAAACAAATTTAGATGGTGGCCCGTAAAATCCCCTTGTTAAAATATCAACTTCCTTCTTAGGATTTTGTGTGTACTCTCAAATTCTCTTCTGATCAGTCGCATCATAAGGCAATTCATCTAAATTAATTTCTCTCTGAATGGAAGACTTCAGGAGATTACTTTGCTGCGACAATTGATATAGTTTACGTCTAACGGGTGACCTCGGCGAGCCCACATCAAAATACCATTCCATAGCCTAGATCAATCAAGGTCCATAGAAAAACAATTAGAAAACTAGGGCAAAATTACCGTACTGGACTAGATAGAACATGCACAAGAGGGGAGGATGTGCCCATGTGATCTTACTACCTCGAAATTGAACTGCAGTTATGTGCTTGCCGCTGTCGATCTGCAATTGAACACTTGCCGCCGGCGTTCAGGCGACATAAGGTAGGATGAGACGAGCAGAGGGAGGCGAGTTGGGGAAGCAAAGAGGCCGGCGGCTGCCATCATCATACATGCTATGGATTGATAATAAACCTAATTATTGATTAAGTGACGAATAGGCCTGGTAGTGGGCACAAGAGACAATTTGTACCTGGGCTTTTGGGCCTTTTACTAGTCCATTCACGTGGGCTTGGCAGCTTAATGGGGTCATGCTTCATATTCTGTTGGGTTCAGGCTGAGTAAGTCGTACAAATATGCACGTAGCCGGCAAGTTTTGTTGGGTTCAACTGAACCCAACGGCAGTACGTTGGCTCCGCCGCTGCCAGGCAGGATCATCTCGGACATTGGTTGAGGGCTTAGGCCCCGGCAGTTTGTGTGTTCCGGTGCACTGCGTTTTGATGCCAACGATACGGCCTAGTATTCTGTCTTCGCTGCACTCCCCATGATCACTGTACCATGCATCGGTAGCATGTACTTCTCTGTAGATCGCTCCGGAGTCATGTGCTTGCTGTTTTCCATTCGATGTTGGCGAGTGAAGGTTGTCTAGGGCATCCCCTGGGATCCGTATCTTCAGAAGTTAGCAATGCTACTCCACAACTTGTGGGGATAATCAACTCTGATTCTATTCCGCCCACACTGGATTCCGAGTCCGTCAGGTATGAAAGTTTGTACAACTATGCTTCTGTGACATGTGTACATGGCTAACAATGGTGCGGCCGCTACTGATGTGCCCACACGAACGGAAGATGACACACTTCTGCACAAGTCAGGGGAACGTCCCTAAGGCCGTCGCCTTCGAGGCCTCTCGGGTGGCCATCCTGAAGGAGCAGAAGTGCCTGACCTAGGTGAAGCGGGATCTTGAGGCGCGAGAGCTTCAGGCGGCTAGAACATGGAACACACGCTGTTCTCCTCAACAATTTGCCTTGACTACACATATGGCTCGTGTTGCATGCAACACACAGGTGAGCCAAGGTTTGAAGGGCATCCGAGTACATCGTACTCCGGCCATGAACCTGCTGACTGTCGCGGCATTGGCCAACAAGCTGGCTTGACCCACCAGTTGACCGTCGGCAGAGGACCACATCCAACTTGCCACGCTGCTCAAGACTGCGGTGGAATAACAATATATAGCCACTTCATTGCAAGGCCGACTGGCTTCAAAGTCAGTCCGGTGCTAACCTTTGGGGGCTCGTAACTGCCCCATCACCATGTAATCGTCCTGTCCGAGTTGATCCATCAATCGGTGTCCCATCGCGCGGGACGACATCAATCGAATCCGTGCCGAGCAACGCCGACTCAGCCCCTCTCTGGAGCGGATATCAGGAGCCTGCGATGCATGGGACGACATTGAGGCTATCCGTGCGTCAAAGGAGCGATCCAAGCGTCGTGGCAAAGCCGATCGTCCCACTGGGTCAGGTTCACTCGGTCCTTTGTGTTGCAGTTGGTGCATACAGACTGAACCTTTCCTAGACGGCGGATCGCTAATGGAATCAACAAGTACGATGGTACCGCCAAGCCCGATTTTTGGCTGACCGACTATGTTGTGGCCTGCAATATCGGCGGAGGCAACGAGCGCATTGCCATCTGCAACCTTCCCGTGATTTTGGAGGGATCGGGATAGGCATGGTTAAATAGCTTGCCCGAAGACAACATTCGCCTAGGAGTCTAGGCTGATCTACGTGATGCGTTTCTCAAATTTTTTGAGGGACATCTGTTAGACCTGGAACTATGTAAAGAAGGAAGGTGAGTCGGTCCACGAATACATCAATCGCTGGAATCGGCTCCAAAACTCCACTGAGAACGTCGTTGAGCCTTAAGCTATCCAGGCCTCAAATATGGAGTTAGGTACGAGCTCCTGAGGCAGAAACTTGGTCGCACAGACGTGTTGACCATGGGTCGACTAATAGAGCCCGCCAATAGATATTCCTCCGGGGAAAAAACCACTCCCCCATTAGATCTGACTGCTTAGGGCAAAGGCAAACCTAAAGTGGAGTCCTCTCGGTAGAAAAATCGCCCTGACTTAAATCGAAGGAACAACAACCAAAAGTGGAAGGGGGATGGTGCTGACGGCATCAGCGGAGCAGAGCTGGTTGCCATGGCGGAACACGATGGGCCGTGCAGCAGCAATCGGTCGCCAAGTCGTCAGTGGCAGCAACGCAAATATCAGAAGCTGCCATTTGATAAGATCCTTGATCAGCCCTGCAAGTTTCACGACACGAAGTAGAGGTTATCCATGCACTCCACCAGGGATTGCAACATAGTGAAGCACCTTCGGTCGGAGAAATCAGTTGCCAACAACAACA